TACTTCGATGGACACACTGACAAATAATATCGCCTGGTTGTACACCTCGATTATTGATGAGAAAAAATGCTAGTTGTTGGACTTGAGATAGTAGTTCTTCATAAGTTAAAGTCTGTTCATCAAGTGTAACAGCCGCTTTAGCAGGATGCATCACTGCTTGTTTGACGAATTGTTGATGAATGCAACAAGTGACATTGGGTGTTATAACATAATTACTTAGTTCTTTCGTTAGTTGATGTTCCGCAGGTAAAAGAATAGATAGTTCATAGACAGATTGTTCTTTTCGATCGAAAGCCGAACAAAATAGTTGTTGACAGAGAATGTGAGATCGTTGAGCTAGATCTTGCACTGTTGATTGGCTGAACATGTGAGATGGTGCGTGTAGTGTGCTGACAAGCGTATTTGAATATTTATTGTAATCGATTCTACAGGATAAATGAGACTTGGTGTCAGTGTCATCAGTGCACATATATCTTGGATAAGGTTGCAATGCCGTCAGGTGTGTGTCGCCAAGTAATACCTCGCGTACCATTTCCGAATTGTTGTGAACAAGATAAGAAATTGTGCAGAACGTAAATGATATTTCGGGACTAAAGGACTCGATCGATGTTGAATGGCTGTGCTTTTTGCGGGAGTATGTAGCAAGGATTTGTTGTGTAGTGTGTGTTACCATTTCGTCAACTTCGTTAATAAGCTGGAAGAAGGACGCATATGGATCAAGATAAACAACAAACGGAAATCTATATGAAATTTGAAGACAAAGATATTATTCAGTTGTATAAAAAGTACATACTTTGTGTCAAACATTCCTACGACGTCACAAAACTCTGACCGATATCGATTATCAATTTTTTGGCCAACACACAAATTTCGTTCACCATTAGTTAACTTAAACAAGAAGATATAGTAACATGCCAATGCCAAATTCTTTGGCGCTACGTTTATCGTTGATGCATAATCGAGAAAAGTATACGATAGATTTGAATCAAAGTTAACAGAAGTTGACCAACGCAGATTAGCTAAGTGAATGTCGACGATCGGTTGGCGATCATAGGGCAGCTGGAGATGTGGATTGCCTTGATAATCGCTGGGCGTCAGAAGATCTATATGTAAAATTAATAGTATAAAATAGGTTTCATGAACTAAACGTATATGTAAAAAAAATCTTGACATATAAATCAGAGGATATTCTAATATACGGTTTCAATCTGAATTAAGATCAGGAACCCATAATTCCGTTTTATTGATCACTGATACTATCAACAGCGGTGTCGTTGTTAGAATGCATGGATGCAAAAGTAATTTTCATTGGATGACAGCATATTGGCTAAGTATCTTCTCGAGTTTCTTGCACTCTGGCATTCACGTTTCATTGTCTGTTTTTTGTTTGTCGATTCAAAAACTTTCAGATCATTTACCAGAACAATTTGTTTTACAGGATGAAAGTTCTTTTTCTAACAACAATTGGTTACTCACTTTGCATATTGTATCGTTCTTCAAATTCAGTTGATGATACATGTCCAGTCGAATATACTAAATCAATATCATAATAAAACATGTCCAGGGTGTCGTTATCGAAGAGATTATCATCGAAATTAAAGATAATTATATCGTTAGTTATAAGTAAATCTTCATCACAGTTTAGTGATCGTTTAATAGCGTGGCAGTAGAATAAACGTCCTTGTCCAAAGTCGAATGATGCTTGTTTGTTCGTTTGTTTATTGAGAATCATTTGGATTTTGTCGTCTTCAGAAATAATACTCAATTTAAATAGAACCCGATCGTCATTTTCTGATAGTAGAAGTTGCTCATTTGACGTTGTATTGCTCATATTGGTTGCTGTATGGAATTTGCCGTATTTCGCATTAATCATAGCTAAAGCTGCTCGCAGACGGCGAATAGACACTGTATTCTCTTGAATTCTAAATATATGTGGCATGTTATGTGCGATTTCTAAATCTTGTTTTGCCAAATCAGATTTGTCCATGCTGGTACAATAATGAATCTTAAGAGAGTTGAATACAATGTTGACTAACTCTTCAAACGAGAAAAGCGGACATAGGTATTCAATCTAAAAGTAAACCTTTTCATGTTTTCGTTTAACAGATGTTGTTAATGAAAGTCAAATATTGCAGTATGATCCTTACATAATAGAATATTTTCATGGAGAGCCAACCTAAAAGACACTATGCGTAGAAAAATGTTTCATTTGTCTGACTTTGTCGGCTCTTTTCATTTATTATATTAATTTAATATTTTTTGAGATGTGTCACCGATAGAGATAGACATTCGATAATGACTATCTGGTGACGTCCACCGAACATGCATAAAAAGTTGAATCCCATATTTTGAAATGAAAACTTTTTTATAGTATGTGATATAAAATTTTTCTTCCTTATATCTCAATCGCAGGAACGTCGCGAGGCTAAAATCAAGAAAAGCATGCTGATAGTAGAATAAAATAAATGAATGAATCAAATATTCATCATCCTTTCATAAACTACAGGATGTTTCAAAGGTCTTTGAAAAACGTTCTTTCGTATATCTTCACCGTTACACTTAACTTTATCAACAGATTTTTTTAAATGGTAAGTAGATCTAATAAATTCTTTTTTATATGAGCAAATTTCAAAAATACTGTTTAAGGGTATTACTCTTTTTAGTAATATAAAATGTAACCATTTCATTGGGTAGTTCAATAAGTAATCAAACAAAAAACAAGATATGTCTTTCAATTTTTTTAGCAAGTTTCATTTTGTAGAGTTTTTCTTACTGATCATTTTCGAAAAAGAAACCTTTTCTATCATCACCAGTAAATGGCGATGCTACAATCAAAATAGAGAAAAAATATTGCTTTACGACTCCAGCACAACTTGAAGTTTATTTGTATTTTGACCCAAGTATCATCATTTATTAATGATAATATAAAAGTTTTTTATACAGAAATGTTCAACGAAAAAAGTTCTACAAAATAGAATATGCTAGTAAAAATCTTGAAGGTCTATCTCTTTGTTGGAGTTCACAGTTTATGGGAATATTCGACGAGATAGATCAAATTTTATTAGATATGTTGATGGTGATTAATTTCAAGTGTATCTACGAACTGTTGATTACTAAATGAAAACTGGGATCTCTCCTTGATCATCATAAAAAAGAATTAATTCATTAAGTTAAAAAGTGATGGAGATATTCAAGTTTTTTCTTAACATGATGTTGGAACATCCTGTGAAAAAAGTTTAACTTTTTGTATTCTCATGCAAGATCATACCTGTAACGTAATGAAGTGTCTATAAATTGAAGAGAAGAAGTGGTGGTATAAATCTTATTTTTAATACAAATAACACTCCACACATACTGCAATAAAATCAACACACAATAATATTAAACTATACTCCAACTCTAACGGTATTTGTAACTCCTATTCTAACTCCCACTCCAACTGTCTCATTACATTCTTTTTCATCTCTTTTTATATGCATCCACTATCTTTCACCATAACAAAGATGGACGTGAGCATATACAATATGTGAACTAAGAGAGACACATGAAGGATAACAAAACCCGTCTGAAGAAGATTATCATAACAAAACTTATGAAGGATTGATACAAAAAGATATCCAAAGGATAGATACAAGAAATATGTGAAGGATGAATAAAAAAACCATACAAAGAC